ACTTATTCTTTCACCACTATTGCATCTTACTCACTGTGGAATTCTGTGATCTAGATCATTTTCCACAAATCCTTGTGCACCATATTTGTGATGTATATTCTAGACCAGGAATGTCAAACTGGCGGCCCTCCAGCTGTTGCAAAACTACAAGTCCCATCATGCCTCTGTCTTTGGGAATCATGCTTGTACCTGTCAGTCTTGCAATGCCTCATGGGACTTGTGATTTGGCAACAGCTGGAGAGCTGCCAGTTTGACACCCCTGTTCTAAACTTTCCGTTTAGTCTATTGCCTCAGTTTTTGACACTCTGTACTTTATTTGTCAACAGATTGCATGCTGTCCCTCCTTGTTAACATTTGTACATTTGGGTACCATGGAATTGTTTCATTCCAACTGCTCTATTTTTTTGTATATCTATTTAAAAAAAAAACTAATAAAAAATACAATTTTGAATAAAATATACTTTTTATTTTATAATTTGTGTAATTTAAAATAGCAGCAAGTGTATCTGTCTGGTTCAAGGGAGTAGCATACTTTTTGAAGATTAAAAAGGCATTTTTTCTCTGAAAACAAAAATAACAAAATTAACAAAACAAAAAAATGATAAACTAAAATAATTGAAAACAATCTAAAAAATAATATTTAATGGGAGGATAGAGTTAAGTAGGGCTGATAGGGCTCAACGAAGAATAAATAAAGGGTTAAATAGGAATACATTTTATTTAAAAACATTTTTTTTTTTACTTGAAAGTTTTATGTCACTAGTGGAAAATACAATTCAAAGGTTACACATGCGATCTGCATGTAAATTAAGTACAACAACTCACATGTGGGTGCTGGTAACCTTGATAGGGAATGAGTTCACCAAAAAGTATTAATTTAATATATAATGTAGAAGGGACAACCTTCAGCCACTCTGATGACCTCCAGGAACAATGTGTAAGAAAAAACAAGATATATCAACGAGTGCTATAGGAATGGCCACATAATATACTGACTCAATTGGAGTGTCCAGGCATGTTCATAGTATTTGCAGCGGAAACACATGTAGTCAAAAGTAAGTATAACAGATAAAACTTTAATAAATGTAGTTGTATATCCAGCAGACAATATTAAAAATTGGCTTCATTGTAAAACCAGCTTAGGTCATCTGAACCATGCTGCAGGCAGAAATATAAAATGTCACTATGCTGTTGACAAGAAAAATCACGTACTCGTGTGCTGTCCCGCTTGCTGAAAAGGTGACATGGCATGGGGTCAATTTGCTGATGAAACTGAAGGTAACCCACTAAATTGTGTGCCCATCCAATTGCTAAGTTGTAGGTGGAGGGCAATGGATATGAATGTCAAAACCCAGAGTCCCCAGTGGTGCTGATCTGAATCACGCAGCGGAAGTGACTTCTAGGTGCACCAGAAGTGACATCGGCTGGAACTGCAAACAAGCAGGAACAAAGCTACGGATATTCAGTGTAGAAAGACTGGATGTCCAGAGCTAGTAGGGGAGATGAGTAGTTGCCATGATGATGTGTTTCTCATGGTAGTGCTTTATCAAAGTCCTATAAAAGTATAAATGTCCACAGTGGATGACAGGTCAGTGTATTAGACCGCTGCCAGTACTATGTGATTGTTGTGACCAATCACAGCAGATCAGATGACAACTGTACACAATGGATGGCTATTGTGTTGATCTCTGTGATTTGTCACAGTGATCACATAATAAAGACAAGGCCAATCACATCCCATCTGTACATGTGATTAGCCAATCATAGCTAATCACAATAGTAAACACTGATGAATAGATTTCATTCAGAAAAAAAAAGTGGAATTCACTGTTAAAGACAATCATAATGTGTAAAAAAAATCCTGATCACCTCCCCAGAGTAGTACAGTGTTACTATGGTAACGCTGTATTGCTCTGGTAACAGAATGTAAAAAAAATCTAAAAAAAGAAATAGAAAAGACATTTTTTTTTCTTAAATTACGTACTGTCATCAGTCAGTGTCTCTGATCACAGTCACTCCAGTTACATGATGACATTGTACTACACTGGTGATGAAAAAACAAATGTGAAAAAACAATTTTTTTTAAATGTCTTCATTTTTCTAAAATGTTTTGACAAAAAAATTACAACTTCAAAAAACTTGCCATACCTTTTACTAAAAACCTTGGACCTGGACTGAATGTTTATTAGGACTTGAGTAATTGGTAGGACTACTGTGTGTTATTGCTCATACGGAGGGGATCCTAAAAATCTCCAAGAATCTACAAACAGATTAGGAGATCAAATTGTATCTCTCCCAAACAAAAATGTTGGCACCATAACAGAAAGGAACATCCTAACAAAAAAAACAAGAAAAAGATGTCTCTATACTATGGCAGATAAAAATGTCTTGTCAGATAGCAAAGATGGGACAGGACACCGCAATGATACCTCTTTGCTGTACAATTTAAATCTCAATATAGCATCCCCTTAACAGTTAGGCACAAATTGGGCTATATGGTGATAGTGGTAGCCATTATACAATCTCTATCATTATTTACCAGCCCCAGTAAGCATATTCAAATACTGTAGAGGACATGCAAAGAACCAAACTATTGGTGTTTAGTGGCTATTATGGTGGTCTATACATAACAGACTTCTCACCTCTACCAATCCCCCAAAAAATAAAGCCAAAAAGAAGTAAAAATGACTGAGTCCTCACAAACTGGCTCAACCACTAACTGGAGGAGCAATTGGAGTAATAGGTCACCTGCCTAGAAAACAAATGTGTGCCCCCCCCCCCCCAAAAAGCAATAAAGTGCATTAGGATAAAAAAAAAAAAATAGGTTTTTCTCCTAAAAGAGAGGTTTGTCAGAAGCATGTGCAATTCTAACTGCACCAAAGCAAAAAAGCACATGGCAGATATGGTTGATAGAGAATTGGCTTCTATATTTGTATATTTATATATACAAATATAATTCTATATTTATAACCTGTGCAATCAAACCAACCGCCACTTGCTCAGCACGGTGACATCATCACACATGCACTGCAATGTCATCATGCACCTGCCTCATGACATCATCGCGACATGACACTCGCACATGCATGGTTCACATTAGGTGCCATCTAAAGGACAAAACACAGATGACAACACAATAACAATATAACTGAATACACTAACAACAAAATGGTATAGCGGGGCAAGCTAAATGCACCCAAATAGAAGAAGCATATCCCAAAGGGCAAAAGGAGAGAATTCAATGGCTCAAAATATCAGTCAGTCATATCTTCACACCTCAATTTGCCCTAGTAAAGTGGTCCAAACCCCCAATATCTCACTCAGAAAGAACTACCACCAATGCATAAAGTTGTGGGCATATTTTAGAGGACAAGAAAGGACAGTTTGATGGCTCAGAGTACTGATTCATCATTCCACAAGCACTCAACTTTTCCTATCATAGTATTACAATCCTCTCAATGCCTCACAGACAAAAAAGGCAGAGCTAAAACCATCTATAGTGCATATATTCTCTCTGCCCATGCTAAATTAAAGAGGAGATACCCTTATGGATATCAGACCAATTTCTTCACTCTATGCCATATTAAAATCCATGCAAAACACCTAAGCTTATGAGAACCTAAGAAAACAGATGTTTTTTCACAAAAGCCTATCCACACATGAAGGGTAGGTAGGTAAACTCTCATTCAAACCATTTGAAGAGCACAAGCCAAGGCAAAAGATCCATCTGGCTTCTAATTTGAGCAAAATCGTATCCAAGTCACCTTTTCTTGGGCCTAATTTTGCCAGGTTTACCATTATGCTTCTGCCAGACATGTCTGGTATTTATCCTGTTCTTTTTCAAAATCACATTGTTAATATGTTCTAAAACCCAAAGTCTCAGTTGGTAAATTGTTTTGCCAACATGCTATAATGAGCAGGAGCATTTGGCCACAAATTGTGCCTATATAGGCGGTGCATATATACCGAAAGTCAAGGATTTTGTGAGTTCAAAAAATGGTGAAATTATCACAATAAAAACATTAGGCCACTTATCCTCCATGTAGCTTTTGTGGGTGGGTATGCGCACCCCCATTGTTGTTTTTTTTTTTGTATATGTGAATGCCATACAAAGGGAAATTTGAATTTGTAAGATATAGCAGTAAATACCTTGGAATGTCTACTTTCCAAAAAGAGGTAATTTGGGGGATATTTGCACTGTCCTGGCATTTTCAAGCCTCAAAAAATGAGATAGGCCTTCAGTACAGTATCAGAATTGATCGATTTTCAGATATATACCATAGTATGTGGACTCTACAACCTTTCTGCAGATTAAATAATATACACTGATTTGGGATAATTTCACCAAAAAATATAGTAGACTACGTTTGGCCTAAATTTCTGAAGAAAGATTATTTATTTGCAAAAATTTTTTCAAAATGTTCTTTTTTTTTGTTGCTTTTTTAGCAAAAAAAAAATCCAGTGGTTATTAAATATCACCAAAAGAAGTTCTATTTATGTGAAAAAAATATCATATGGGCATAGTGTTGCATGACCTTGCAATTGTCATTCAAAGTGCAACAGAACTGAAAGCATAAAATTGGCCTGGGCAGAAAGGGGGTAAAAGTGCCTGATATGGAAATGGTTAAATACACTCTAAAAAGCTTGGAAAAAGTCCACTAATGAATAGAGTCTATATATACGTCCTGCATCCAAAGTGCAACAATAAAGGAAGGTTCCATAAATGTGTGCATATAGCTCAGCCAGCTATTAGAGGTTTGAGGATCTGCCTCAGAAATGTGAACAAACATCTTAATACATCCACAGGTAAGCAGGCTCCAATTGTATAAATTATATAAGGAATACTGTATGGAGGTGTATATAAAGAACTGAGTAGTAGGTACTATGCCTTAAGGTCACCACCAGAAACTCATGTATCCTGTGCACTGCGATTGCACACAGAGAAATATGGCTTGTAAAGTCTCCAACCCACTAGACCAATAGTAGTTCTAGTACATGCAAGATTATGCACACATCAGGGGCAGACTGACAACTCATGTGGCCCCCAGGCAATAGGGAATCATGGGGCCCCTGTGTCCTTGCCCAAACTCCAAAAAGCCTATGAAAAAGGTACCAGGGGCATCTCATGGGGCCCCCTAGTGACCCCAGGCCCTCAGGCCTTGCCCAAGTGCTCAAATGGTCAGTCCGCCCCTGCCACACATCAAAGTAGATGGGTCTCAGGGTGGGTCATAAGCCTGCTGCAGTTCAATAGGATCACAGCACAGTTATAGAAAAGGTTCCACTCATGCTAAATAGTGTAGTAACCACCAACCACTGTTATACAGGGAATGTAGCCCCTCAGTTTGTCAGTCATTCTGGAACTGGAAGTGACGCTGATCTTGTCAGTCCGATTCCAGAAATGACATAATTTTGCGACCATATTCATGAAGAACTCTTGGTCATCAGACAGGGGACATCAGATATAAAAAAAAAGAAGACAAATTAACACATAAATTCCCTGCTGAACACATGAATAGTGTCCTAAAAATGCATAAATGACGAACACCATCACAACACGTAACATAATATACAATGTGTATAGGTGTCCAATATGTCTTTCATGTCATAATTTTATAATGACACTTATAGATATATGCTAACCTGGATTTCCTCAAAACCACAAGACCAGAGTACATCAAATATACAGTATGTTGCCCAATACAGCAAAAAAAAGGAAAAACTTATAACAATGGTTGGCAGCACTGACATACAGTAATATCAGAGCCACCAGCCATTGTACATGTTAGTCACATTGCGCTTGCTGTGGTGAGAGTATGTTAAAAAAAGTGTGGGTTTTTTAAAATATTTTTACAATTAATTTTTACGTATTATCACTCCAGCAGTGCTGTGTCACCACAGTGACACTCATGACAACCTTGTTGGCAATCACTTTCCTGACCATTCAAAGGCTGCATTTATTCAGCCTTTGTTTACTATTGGTCACAGCAATCATAGTAGTAAACAAAGGATGCATGATTTGTTATTGCTGTAATTGTGTCTGAGGGACACAATGATCACACATCATGCTGCTGCACAGCCTCAGGGCTGCCTATGAGTGGTGAAAATACAAGGACGTACTGGTACATCCTTCCAGATCGACAAAAGTGCCGCTCAGCCATATATCTATATGGACAGGGCTGGAGGTGGTTAACCTCTTGCCGACCGCGCATAGCCGAATGACGGCTTCACCGCGGCCGGCCAGTTTACGTCATATGACGTCCTCCCAGAACGCGCTCTCCTGCGCGCCCCAGGAGGCGCGCACCTGGCGATCTCCGTGATCGCTGTGTCCTTCACGGACACTGATCACGTGATGTGGTAAAAGGCCAATCACAGCGCCTTTTACCACGTGATCAGCGGTGTCCAATGACAAGCTGATCACAGGGAAATGCAAGTGCCGGTGTGTCATTAGTACAGTTTTCACCGATCAATGATGGCAGTGCCAATTTTAACATACTAGCTTGCCCAATTGCCCCACAGCAACCTGTGCAGGAAAAAAATTAAAAGTGCCCATGCAATATAAGCCACCCACTGTGTTGCCCACCAGTTGTAACCAGTGCTGCCCACCAGTGCCATAAAAGGGTAGCAGTGCTGCCAGTCAGGCACCAGTTTACTTGGGCCAGTTGCCCAGTCAGTGATGCCAGTCAGTGCCGTAAATTCAGGTATCAAACCTATCAAAAGCAGTGTGACCCCCTAATTACTTGTTGCAGGGTATATGCCGCCTATTTCCATTTCAGTATTGATATCAGTCCCACAGGTAATTGCAAACGCAAGGAGCAAACAAATACCTGTTTGTTTTGCAGGTCGAACAATTTTTATTGATATAGCGCAAAAAGTAAAGCGCCCAAAGTCGATTAAATACCACCAAAAGAAAGCTCTACAGTGAGAAAAAAATATCAAAATTTTCATATGGGTACAATGTTGCAGCGCTGCAATTGTCAATCAAAGTGCGGCAGCGCTGAAAGCTAAAGGAATGCACTTTAAGCCCCAATAAAAGGCTCACTCCCCATGAATGTTATTTCAACATTTCTTGTGCATTAGTACATGTTTCTTGTGGCAGTGCTTTTAACATAAGCTTGCAAATTGGCCCAAAAAAAGTTAGAAAAAAATTAAAAGATTCAGCTCCCATATACTTTAATGGACTCTGGGTGCTGTGTTTGAGGATTTACCAATTTCCTGCTAAATTCGGCAAACATCCAGTGAACGTAACTTTGCAGGGTGTACCCATTTCTATTGATAGTCACAGGTAAGCACAAGATTAGTGATGGGGCAAACACCCCCCTGTTCGTTTCATGGTCGAACATTCGAACATAACGAAAGTTCAAACGCAAACTTCGAACAGAGAGGACAATTCAGTAAGCGGTATCTTACCACATCTGAGTATGGGGTAAGATACCGCACAGCTACTAAACACATTCTTTATTGTTTCAGCTGTTAGCGGGGTTCCCAGGTGACAGCTGAATGTAAATAGAATTGCCAGAATTGCCTGGAAATTAAAATATGTAAAAAAAATATGTGTGGGGTCTCCCCCCCCCCCACATCCATATCAAGTCCTTCGGGTCTGGTATGGAATTTGAGGGGAACCCCATGTCAAAATTATTTTTAAAATAACGTGGGGGTCCCCCAAAAATCCATACCAGACTCTTATCTGAGCATGCAGCCTGGCAGTTCAGAAAGGGGGGGGGGCAAGCGGGCAGCCCCCTTCCTAAACCATACCAGGCCGCATGCCCTCAACATGGGGGGTGCTTTGGGGCAAAATGCAGTCCATCCCTGCTGAACCAGCCAGATTTCAATCCATGTATGGCCAGCATAACACAGAAGTGGTGCACACAGTGACATAATAAAATAGGATAAATGAATAAATAGAACACACTGTTGTGGCAGCACATTTGGTAACATCAACATTGATTGATTCAAAATTACATTTACAATATGTGTAGGAGGATGTCCTATTTTTTTAATTTCCTGCAAATGACTAGTTATTTTACCAAAATGTGCCATGTTTGAGTAAAAAGTAGTCATCGGCAAATCACCATGTTACAATATGGCTTAAAAATAAGAATAAAACAAAATACAACCAAAAAACACATTTTGAAGAAGGATTACAATTTTAAAAGCACAATAGGGTTATCCAACGTTGTCATACGTATCTGTTTACCTAAATAAACAATATCAAAAGCAAAATTGCAGTTTTCCTTTTTTGTTAGTTGTATTATTGACTGTGAACTTCCAAAAGGCATTTAATTGCTGATCACTGAGTATTTACTGTGCATCGGTCCAGTGTGTTCTTTCACACTCAGACCTGCTGGATGTAATAATTAGCTTTTTAGAAGAAATGTTTTTATCACATAACATATTTTACAATTAGTTTGGCTTTCTGCACTTTGAGTTTACATAATGCAAACATCATAACATATTAACACAAACATCATGGAACTTGCAAGGAAAATGAGAGATTAAGCAGTAACCTCTGTAACCAGAGGCTAATCAGTCAGGAATTATTCATAGCTGGCTCTATAACATGTTTTGTAATCAGACCAAAATACTGGTTTCTGTAAAGCATGTTTAATTATTACATAACAGTTGGGTAATTCTAGTTTTATACTTTTATTAAATTCAATAATTAAAATTAAATTAGGACCCCAAAAAACCCCAAAAGAACACATATATGTGTGTTTGCAACTGTGTTTAGTGCAATGATAACAGTATGTAGTGTTATGTCTGACAACATGAGAGCCAAAACAGGAATAACCACTTGTCTACTAGGATATGTTTATAAACATTATGGTAGACAAGTGGTTATTAAATCAAGCTCACATTGGCTCCTGTTCCACCGAAAGCCCAGGTCCATGGAAACTCTCTTCTCTAATAAAAGCAGGAGGAATTTGGGGAACAAGGGGCACCCCATTTACCCCCCTCCCCACACACACACACACACCCCAAATAAAGAAGTGCAGCGTAGGATTACATGAGTATGCAAATATCAATTGTGCCACATGTCTGAGGTATCATCGCACACATCAGGGTTAGAGTAATAATTCTTGGGTCATTGTTCATGGATAACTCTAAAGTGATGACCTGTAAAGGACTTTAAAGCATCATCTATGAAGAATTTTTGGTAGCATTGTTTTTTTGCGATTCCACAGGCATTCACAATACTAAGACTTGACAAGTTTGGTATCTATTTACTTAACTCAACCCCATCGTTTATAGTTTACCAAAAAATTCTGTATACTTTTTTGTCAGTTTGTGTTAAAATTCATATGAAGGTATTTTTTTCTGAAAATATGCACTTGATAAATAACTGCACAAATATTCTGCAAAATAAAAAATTACAGTCACCACTATTTTATTCTCCATGGTCTCTGCTTTCAGTATATATGTACTAGCAAAAAATGCAAATTTTAACGTGTACAAAAAATTAAAAAAAAAAAAACAACACTACACACCTTGGTAGATAAGTGGTTAAGCATACATTGCTGGACTTAATACATTTTTGTGAGTGGCAAAGGTTTTTGAAGGTATCCACTAGCGAACAAAGCCAGGAGCTTGTGTTGTCTAAATTGGTCTCATAATTGGTCTATAAATTGATCTTTTGGGTTAAGTAAATAATGCACATACTGCACATCCCCTTAGTTTCACAACTGCATACTGTAGATAGTCACCATTCATCATGGAACACATGCATAAACAGTAAATAGCTAAAAGAACAATACATGTGTCTGTAAAAGATCAGTTGTATAAAGCAATCTAAAATATAATAAGGACTTGCAAAATACACTGATTTACACAATTAAAGTCTTACTAAACCCAGAACCCTGCATCCACTATATCTGGTCTCCCACAGTACACAGAACATGTAAGTGCAATTATTTTAGTAGATATGAACTACTAAATACTTTTTCTCAATAGAAGTTATAGCAGTCTTGTGATTTCTATCAGTGTCCAGCCCAGCACTAGGTAAAGCTTGTAGGAGGAGATTTCTTTCTGCTCTAGAAGGATGCAAAACCCCTTATCTCTGTCTTACCGGTGCTGATTGGCCCTGTGCTGATCAACTGCACTCTCTACCAAAACAAAACCTCTCTAGCAATACACATCAAGCTGAGCATGTGCAAATGCCTATGGCTCAGTTTGTCTTATCAGGAGATAAGAGGTGGCCCCTTGAAAAAGAGGAGAAACAGAGAAGAGAGGGTCAAATGGCTTTTTTATGCAATGTAGAGGATTAAC